AGTTGAATTATATGAAAAAGCAGTTGAACAAGGAAATGCTGGTGCACAAAATAATCTTGGTTATTGCTATGAAAATGGAATTGGAGTAGAGAAAGATGCTAAGAAGGCAGTTGAATTATATGAAAAAGCAGTTGAACAAGGAAATGCTGCTGCACAAAATAATCTTGGTTGTTGCTATCAATATGGAATTGGAGTAGAGAAAGATGCCAAGAAGGCAGTTGAATTATATGAAAAAGCAGTTGAACAAGGAGATGATACTGCACAATATAATCTTGGTCATTGCTATCGAATTGGAATTGGAGTAGAGAAAGATGCTAAGAAGGCAGTTGAATTATATGAAAAAGCAGCTGAACGAGGAGATGTTGATGCACAGAACTATCTTGAAGACTATTATAATAAAAAAAGAGTATTAGTATAGGAAAAAAATTTAAAAATTGGTTCACACAATAGTCACAAGTTACTTCCATATTATATTTAATGTTGTATGGAACTGACAACATTTTTACTGAAACTTTTGGCATTTAGTACTAATTTTTGTAATGTCTGATATAATAATCATGTGATTGCTTGTTACCATACTGTTATTTACTAATAGTGATGGATTAACAGATGTCAAATGTTATTTAAAGTATGTAAGTTCATGTATTATAAATTAAGAATTGTTATTTGCTTTTCAGAGCAAGTCTATTATTATGGAAAAAGAAAGATAGGTTGACTATTAGTGTATTATTGTAGAATATGGGACTTGGTTGAAATAAACAATTTGGACACTACTACAACCCACACGATTGATTGTATTCTGTCTATTCTATTCAACAGAATAAGTTTGTTTCACTGAGAATGTTGGCATAAGAATTTATTATCAATTGGTAATTTAGTAAATATTGTATATAAAGGCATGATCTATGAAAATAGGCAGTTTCAATAATAGGGTATGTCTAGTAGACTCTTTCGTCGGTTATGTGATGATAATGGATAAACCGTGTTTATTAAGTGTTAAGAGTTCGTTGTTTTAAGGACTTATTTGTAAGTTGTCACATGTGCACGATATGGAGTAGCGACAAAGGTTTGTTTCGTTGTATGCTTAACGTTCAAGTGACACTGTGTTCGCGCTTTGGGGGAGAAAAGGCATGCGCAACGAAGACAAGCATCTTGGTATGTATATATATATGAGAAGACGTGTGTAGATAACACATATTGGCATTATTTGATATTACTAATTAATTGTTGTTGTACGCAACCTTACAAGTATAAACATGAAGTGTGGTGCGTGAGAGCTGCGATAAAGCCTGAACAGATATACTGTGTAATGTGACGCGCATTACATCATCTTGCGTTTCATAACGTTTCCATAAAGAAAACATTTCAGAATACGCGCAGTAAGATTTTTTCAATGATATCCATATCAAAGTAACCTTAGGCTGCGAATATTACGTTCGATTCGTTATATGGCTAAAATACAAACTACTCTCATCCGAATTACACTTGCTATTGCCAAGTTATTTAAAAGCTTGTATTGGTTCACTGCACAGTTGCACAATTGCTTCAATGGTAAACGCGATCAGATTTTAGTTTAATGACGTAAACGTCGGGTTGAGGAAAAAAAATAGAATTTCATACCCTTACGCGTTATACGGATTTTATATAAAATTCTCTACGTACTAGTCTGAATATTTATTATTCGAGTTAAGACATAATATAAAACCAGACATTCCTTTAATAAAAAATGACGAAATTGCTGTTCAAGAAACAGATTATCGTTTAAGAATCGCCGGCTCGTCAGATTTACTATTACTATAATATAGCGGCTGTATATCCGTTCCCCAGTATCCAATAGTATGCACCGATTGAAGCGTGCACGTGACTAGGTTGATCACTAGATGAAAAAAATCTTCACCGAAAAAATCCTACTACATTTCTTAAAAAATGTCACTTCTTACAGCACCAAGACGCCTATACACTCCCTCACTGTATCTAGCCGTAACACCTCTATCTCGACCAACCCGCAGCTACAGTTCTCCTCCCCCCACGATACCCAGTCGGACGCCCGATGGTAAATTAACCTGGGACAAATACTTCACGCTCCGTCGAAAACGAAAGAACATGGAGCGCGGTTTTCTGATCCCAACTTCTCTGCTCAGCATTGGTGGCAGCGTTGCGTACGTAGCAACGAGGCCAGTCGATCCGACACCAATTTTTGGGCAGGATCCGATCGTTATTGGAAGTTTAGGCATTCTTTGTTGCGGTGTTGCAGGAGTGTTGATAGGACCGATTATTGGAAGTTCAGTATGGAAGTTGTTACATAGAGAAGAGGTTAGATTAATGGAAGAGGTGAGTTCAAAGTGGTAGAGTGTGATAATGGAGCGATTATAACGAGGATGTTGAAGAAGTTTGGGAGCGGAAGAATGTGTACTAGTTCTATGACTCAAAGGCCTCCTCTTTCAACCCGATTTCCCGCACTTCTCACGGTAAACGATCTAATCGTTTATTTTATCCAGCGCGATCGCGAATTCTATCAACACATAAAACAAAACCGTGCCGATCCTTCTCTATTCTCATTGCGTAATCCTGCACCGGACTATTACGGCGAGAAAATCAAGTCTGTCCAGGAGTATCGAACTTGGTTAAGAAAACAGCGCGAGTGTATTAGAAAGGGAACTTTTCATATTGGCGAAGATACATAATACTGGATGTGCTTTCTTGAGTGAACAAGTTGATTAAAAGACATTTGATGATAATATCATTAATGGTGCTGTACTGGTGTTGATGAACATAGAGGAAGCAAGTGTTAGTCGGGAATTGTCAGAGATAGATAAAGCGCAAATTTTTAGAATTTAGTATAACTGTATTGTTAATATTGGAAAATAATATATTTTTACTAAGTATTAATCTAGAATTTATTCTGATCCAACGAAGGTTTAGAAATTGATCAAGCAATTTGACTCATTCTTGACACATTTAATTATTATATACCTTTACTTATAGACTATCTACGACATCGACTTTAGAATGTGACCGTGTTTTGGTTCACAATCCAAATAGCGCGCTGTGAGTGCTTATATCTATCCTCTTTGCTACATTTATACTGCGGGATGGTTACATGGGTTCGAAAGGGATGAATCAAACTGGGGGTTTTGAGGGGACGTCGAATCTCGTCGTGTTATTATACATAAGGCGAACACCGTTGCTTCCGATAATAACTCATTTCTTGATCTCATCTTATGACCGCTCCGGGGTCACATCTAGTCAAAGTCGGAGCGCAACAAAGAAACAATTCTGCAAACAAATGATACAATATATCGCTATGCTAATACGTTTCACCACTAGAATGTGGAACAACAGGGAACAACAGCTTATGGATTATGCAGGTGCTTGCATTGCTTGCATGAACATAATCTATATCTCGACATCGGTTTTACCAGCTCCGAAAGTTGTGGAACTGCTTTCGGAGACTATTGTATGAACAGTGAGCAATGGTGGAGAATTGGCTTTTTCGAATTTCACTTCCTATTGACAAGTTAAATCTTACTCAGTATAGGGGTTTCACTACTCACATGCATTCAAGCGACGCTTCTAGTTTGGCCTCTGTAATTGGATTCTTTCGACTAGCCAATACATGCTTGTACAATCGGCTAGAAATAAACCAATTAATAATACCGATTCAATAGATTACGTCCGGTGTTACTTTTAGCGAAATACGCTCGATCCTTTGGACGATATTGGAACGCTTAGTCTCGTGAAATAGCAATCGTTCAAGAATTACACAGAAAATTTATTATTTATTTTATTGTCTGTATTATGAATAGAGGTTCATATTTTCTAAGCCATTTATAATCTGTGCCGATCGCGTTGGTAAAGGACTACTGCAGAGGAAAGCAATATGCATGTCTACGAAATTTATTCGTGAATGACATAAATTTCATTCGAATGGGCGTGGAAAGTCATCCCAATCAGCAAAGATGGCTTGTACAAATGCAAGCATTTTGCTGAGACGCCCGATATGAGACTTGTCAGTTGCAGACCTATTTGCTATAATACCATTCATTGCATATACTATATCAATATGCAGAACTTTATCAATGAATAATTGTACTTGCTCTATATTTAACACTTGTTCCATCTACTATTCTTTAATAACTAGAATTATTTCGATCGTGTATAGTCTTCCCTATTTTCCTTACATAGATTCTGGACAATTAAAGATGGGCATATATTTTACCTGAAACATTTTTCAGTTCAATAAGCTCATTGGTAATCAATAAATTTTGTATTTGTACCACGGACATATTTCATGTAGATTGATGTTAATATTAATGTGCTGTGCCGGTACTGCCCAGTTGAGCGACAACTACTGAACTAGCATTTCGAAAGAAAATAAACCTGTTTGCTAGCTACTTACTATGTTCTAGTGTATATGAACGAGAAATTTAGGCTGCGACAGATACTGCGCACGCCAAGACCTGAATCCTTTATCTCCTGTTTGGGATAGCCCTTGTATTGGATAAGGGTACTTTGTTCATCTATTTATGTCGACGTATAATCTTGCGGTTTAAGTATTACGGGAGTCACGAGAATGTCAATCGCTGAGTGTACTTGACTTAGGCTAGCTAAGACATTCCACTTATGAAGAAGTTTACCGGGTGAAATCATCTGTCTAAAACTTATTATTATCTCTTACATCGACTATTATATAAATATTGTGGCTAAAAATCAACTATTGATAAATTCGTAACACCTTAATACTAATCCCCTATACAGATTTTCGCATGATGCACAAATCAAATTTGTGATTTATAATTATACCTCGCATTTCGTTTCAGTTGCTGTTGTCACACTTGTTTGTAATAAAAGAAGCGCAAAATGGAGGACTTTCCTCACTCACTCTCGTCATAAGCTTGGTATATAAAGGACAACACGATTAAAGATATTAAACTTAATAAGTTTTCCTATCGACACACAGTATGCAGCGCTTACTAAAGAGTCTCTTGCTATTGTTAGTTATGGTATGAATGGTCAGGTTCGATGAAAATACGATACTTGGATTAGGTTCTAACATTAATTGCATTTAGACGAGTATAACGAGTGGAGCCATTCAAACAGGCAGTATTTCATTGCCAGTAGGAAGCACATGGTAAGAGAAATAAAATTTGTTGACATCATAAAGTATCAGTATCTAATCTTATCTTCGTCTAACGATCGCATCCAAAAAAGGTATATTTGCTCCGCTCAACCAACAACTATAATAAGTGAGTATCCTACCACGGTTTCATTCATCTTTAAGCTTCCAAGTCACTTGCACTAATTTCTTCACTCACTCTTTCCAATCAGGTTATGTTACCACATACTCAAATGTTTCAGTCACTCCCACGGCGGGCTTTGGCAATGTTGCGCTAGTCAATAAAATAAGTCCCACAATTACTGCAACTTCAGTAGGCCTTCTCAGTGCTGCCATGACTCAGACCGATCTCAACAAGTATTTGATAGGCGACGCTAATTTGTTCTTGCCTACCTATTCCTGGTTAGTAGGATAATTTTGATTCGAATTGGGGGATAAAACGAGAAATACACTTTGCTTAACGTTCATGCTCTTTTTTTTTTTTCAAGTTTTGACGATCGTGTACAGGTCTGTGCTAGAGGCAGCAATTTGGGTCCACTCCCTATAAGTGCTATCTATTGCGTTCTCGTAATAAACCCGAATTCGGTCACATCCTTCGCCAATGTCATCGTCTCGTTTGACAACCAACCTATTTCCAGTAGTACACCATCATCACCACCATCAGTAGCAAATCCGACGTCGAGCGCAGCGCAACCGACGGACGGCACCCCAACGACAACCAAGGCTTCTTATACCACCGTGATCACGGTTACGGATAATGGAGGCATGAAGGTTAAATGGGACTTTATGAGCATCTTTATCTTTGGGCTTAGTTCGATCATTTGGTATCTTGGGGGATTATTTTAGACGTAATTTTGAATCAAGTAGAATTGTAATACTACCATTGGTTTGTATATTTTAATGATTGAGAACCGATTGCTCTCACGAGTTTTAGATTAATAAATAATAACAGCAAAACACGTTAATTTATGTTTGACGGTGAGTTGGCCAATAATATCGTATATTGTTGTGCCTCAGTGTCTGGACCGAGATGGTTTCCAGCTAAGATTTTTGGTCCCATCATCTCAGATTCTGGTATTGTAATTGGATCTATCGTAAATTATTGAAACCAACAAGCCTGAATATGTCGTACACGTACAAAATTACGAACTTTAATGCCTTATTATTAGTGTTTTGGTTTTGAAAAAACACTTGACGCAAAACATCAGATTATATGACTGCATTTTCAACCTCTTCTAACATCCTTTGGGATTCCTTAACTGAAAGTCAATGTGATGAACCCATTTGGATTTGGGGCGTGCTGCAACCAAACCAGACAAAGCGAACATTTGGCTATGCGAGTTAAAACCAGCTGATGTAGCTGAAAAATTAACTAAGTGACTGATGACAGTTTTGCTTTAATGACTCAGACATAAATTTATTTGATTATCTTAGCTGTTGTACAAATATGACCGAAAGATTACTTATGAAATAATAGTCAATAAACGAACATTAATGCCAACTGATGATGAACCAAGAAAGAAACGAAAAATAAAAGAAGCCTAAAGGAAAGCAAATTTAACATAAAAATGTTCGCTGATCGAGTGACCTATCACTGAAAGATCAGTTTCTATAGTCATCGACTTGTTGATAAAAGACTGTATGAGCACATTTGATTCGCGTTTCGCTACTTGATACAATTGTAACAGAGTCAAATAACGTAACAATAATTTCAATTTTGTGCATAATTTATTATTTACTATTACAAAATGTGATTGCTCTTGAAAATATAAAGCACCAGAGTGATTGCATGGAAGGAAAATACTTTAAATTTCATTATCAATAACAATGTTATTATCACTATCATGGTTTACATTTTTCTTCTCTTGTGAAGGTAAGCATTTTTGTAAAGTGTTATTGGGGGAAGTTGACAGATTTGTTTTATTACTTTAAATGATGTATTGTTTCAACAATATTTATTGCGTTGTGGTTGAATTCTGAAGTAAGTCAACCGCTGTTTTTATAATAAAATATCCGTTTGTTCATTGGTCACATTCTGCATATAGTGTTACATTATATTACTAGAATATGCCAAATTTTATTATACTAAAGATAAGATAATTAACTCTCGTTTTTGAAATACCATTGATGTTAATTCTTCTCTCTTTAAATTTTTCCCAAGTAAGTGTCAATTTGTTATTGATGCTTTGATTGTTGACAGTAGATACTCTATAGAAAGTATGGATTTATCATTAAACTAGTTCGCGATACTTTGCTTTTGGATGTTATTTAACATATTCACATATCACGTTTATATCGAGGAGAATTAATGTGTGATAATTTTTAAGGCAACAATCATCGCATTTTTTGGACTGTAGGTGTGTTAGCATTATTATTTGGGCTATTTGCGGTATTCGGATTATTTCCATTTCCTATTATTCGCGTAATTATACATGCATAATTTTCAATCTTTCGCTGAATATGGAAATATAAACACTGAACCTTGAATGTTACACAACATCAGTGACTGTAAAGGTCATAGTGAACCGAAACAGCATGTGACTGTATAGTCATTGGTTAAGCCACTGATCAGCGTTATATCACATCGCGCAGCCTTTTAGCAGTTCTAACGTTTAGAAATTCACTTTTTCGAACATGAATTGATGGCAAGGCAATCCCAGGGCAAGTAACCGCCGTTAATGAAATATTTACTCAGAATTGGTTGAATACACTGGGCGACGTCAAGAATTTTACTGCTACAGAGTTGGGAAATCTGAATATACCTGCAGGTCTAGTCAAAGATTTAGAGGCAAAAAATTTTCTCAAACCAGGTAACGATTTTGTGACTGCGTTGGTGACATTAGACTTAGTAATATGGACTGTACCGGCGATTTCCGCGGAGTAGTAGATTACATTTCTCGAATAGAACCCCAGAAACAAATAGTTTATTTAAAAAAAGTTGCTCGAAAAAAATACAACAAATCTACCCCCGTAATATATTGAGTACATAGGCAAACTCGACAAGTCGGATTTGGCTTAACTCGGACAAAAATTTTCGACCCCTTTTTTGAATAGTTAAATTTCGATAAGTCGGCGACATATATAAAATCGCGATAAGTCGTAACTCGGACAATCCTGTCGACCAGATTATAACAAATGACTCTCGATAAGTCGTATCACGTGATTTTTACGGATAATAATTACGTCTTTAGCATTTTATTATCTTATGTCATCGTAATATATATCATTTGTAATACATTATACAATTGTCTTAATCGTTCAGAAAGACAATAAAAAGGTTGACATAGTCAATTGCTTTCAAAAACGCATTCCAATTTACAACCAAACTGCAATTATGAACGTAGAAAAAACAAATGCATCGGTAATCTCGGGATCAGTGTCAAATTCAAAGAAAGCGAATCGCTTCTCTAAAACAGCCTACCTTAGAAACTTTTATAAAAATTAGATTATCTATTATAAAGTCGGATATCTCGTTAAGTCGGATACCTCGTTAAGTCGGACACAGGAGTCCGCCCCGACGAGTCCGACTTATCGAGTTTGTCTATGTAGCTGGATTGATCGTGTAGTAGACACGGTAATACAATGTTTGTATGCTTTAACTATATTGGGCTGTATTGTTTTTTTCTTCTATACTCGTTATTATATTATTATAGAACCCCTCACAATGCGAGCGAGATTTGACATTCCTGATAATACCGGATCATTTCTACGTGGTCTCTGTTGTCCTTTCGATGAACAAATCAGGCGTGATAATGTTGAACAGTGTCTTATGGCACCATTGCTCCACAAACTACCAGTTCATCCCTACTATTGCAGAGACTATCCCGATTATCTTGAACCTACAAATTCAGAACCATTTTATAATGTTCCTCGATTGAGTACAATTGTTAGTAACATCATGGGTAAGTCTTTCGCGGAAGCAGTCGGACAAATAGCGTTAACTGCAGATGGTATTAATGATCACATTTTGGACATGATTTCATTTGCCGGCGACTATATTGGAAGTCTACAATTAACCTGGACTCGTAACAAAACCATCAATGATACAAGTATTACCACAAAGCAAAAGAGAGTTCGACCAGATGTCACTATTTATTGTAATGGGTTGCTTGTAATGATGGATGAAGAAAAAGATGTTAAAGAAAAATTAGATATCGCGGCCCAACAACTGGATGGTTATTTTCGCTTCTGGAATATTTTATGACCAGCTGATACAGTGTGTAATGTCTAAAAGGCGTGATTTCCGCTCAACATTTGGTGGTACACAAGCGACACCAGATTTGGTGTCAGATATAAATAGAAATATAGTGTCAAATGTAACATAGCGGTGGAAATGTATTAGGAGATACAGTATAAATATAATTAGGGTGGTATGCAAAATAAACAACCAATGATATTGTATCAAAGCAATCTGATCTACTATTACTATGTATTATACTATCTCGAGTCATTGTAATAGCAGCAACAAACATGACCTCAAATCAGTCTGATAAGGAATGGTTAAGAAAAAATATCGAAGATGGAAACATTCGGCATTATTCTTTCGATGACTTTGTTGACCAGTTGTGCATCGGTGGCGGAGGATATGGAACAGTTTTCAAAGCCAAAGTGAAGTCACTTGATAGAACGGTGGCATACAAGCTTTTGCATTCACAAAATGAAGATGAGA